AAGCAAGAGATAAACGAAAAGAGACAGACAGACAGACAGACAGACAGAGACAGACAGAATTTGGAAGATGACAGAAAAATACAATAACAACATTAATAGAAACAACAAAACAACAAACAACAAAATATCATATCTTAATTTCATCCCATAGTCTAAAAATCTCAACCAAATAATGGGGTCAAAAGAGTGCTAAACCTCGGGGTGGATCATAAGCACCACATTCCCTATATAAGCGAATATATGGCTAGACCTAAGGGTAATCTTGTACCACCCACCCTCCTCCTAGGCCTCCCACCTCCCCCTCCCTAGCGTCCGTAGTAGTATTTTGAGCAGTTGTTGAGGTGGGGTGGGGTAGTGGGGAGGGGTCGTAACTCACAAACCTGCACTACCAAGTTTGGGTGGCAGCTGTAATGTGCTGGCTCCTCTCTCTCTCTCATCTGTCAATTATTATCCTTTCTTCTCCTTCTCTTTCCTTTTGTTCTCTCACACCTTCTTTGTGGTGGTATTAGTAATGTGGTGGTTGTGGTAGTGGTGTGGTGGTTGTGGTAGTAGTGTAGTGGTTGTGGTAGTAGTGTGGTAGTTTGTGGTAGTAGTGTGGTGGTGTGGTGTGTGTGTGTGTGTGTGTGTGTGTGTGTGTGTGTGTGTGTGTGTGTGTGTGTGTGTGTGTGTGTGTGTGTGTGTAGTTCTCTGCTTTTCAAGAAGCTGTTCTATATCTCCTGTATGTCTTGTTTACACACACACACACACACACACACACACACACACACACACACACACGTATATAAAACTATGAACATATTTTCCTGATTGAAATTCCAGCAACATTAATTAAAACAGAAAGAGCAAATAAAAACATCTCACTATTTCCCTCAACCAGTCATGAGGTTTATTAGGTTAGGTTAGGTTAGGTTAGGTTAGGTTAGGTTAGGTTAGGTTAAGTTTGGGTTGGGTTTTGGTTAGGTTGGGTTAGGTTAAGTTTTGGGTTGGGTCTCTCTCTCTCTCTGTCTCTCTCTCTCTCTCTCTCTCTCTCTCTCAATGCAAATCCTCACCTCTCACCTTTCAATTTTCCTGCCTCCCCACCTTCCCAACCCCCACCATCACACACTCCAGCATGGTGAGACATAAACTGTGTCTTATGTATCTCGTAGTGTTGATATGCTTCAGGTGAGGTGAGACATCTAATAACTACAGAAAAATGTGACATATTAATATTTCTCAGGTGTTGGCTGACGTCATCTTCCTCACTGATACCTTTTGTGGGCTTTTTTTCCCCTTGGCTTTCTTATGGGGATTTTGTTGTTGTTATTTTTATATTTTTTTTTATCTTATTTTTATATTATTTTTTTTTATTATTTGTATATTATTTTGATTTTATTTGGAGCATTTTATTTTATTTTTTTAATTTGCTGATTTTTTTTTCTCTAAACCCATGATGTGTCTTACCCATGATGTCTCTCACCCATGATGTCTCTCACCCATGATGTCTCTCACCCATCATGTCTCTCACCCATCATGTCTCTCACCCATGATGTCTCTCACCCATGATGTCTCTCACCCATGATGTCTCTCACCCATGATGTCTCTCACCCATGATGTCTCTCACCCATGATGTCTCTCACCCATGATGTCTTTCACCCATGATCTACCTGAGCCATTTTTACCTCACGAATGTCTCACCCATTTTATCTCACCCATGTCTCACCCATGTCTCACCCATGTCTCAACCATTTCCTCTCACTCATGACACCTAACCCATTTTCTCTCAGCCATGGAATACATTACCCATAAGCCATCACAAACTTATGATGAGTTTCCCTTGTGTGAAAATCTTGAAGAAATAAAGTTTGATAAACATGTCCTTGTGAGAGAGAGAGAGAGAGAGAGAGAGAGAGAGAGAGAGAGAGAGAGAGAGAGAGAGTAAATGGAGAAACACGGGGAGGAATGATAAGGTATGCTTCTCTCTCTCTCTCTCTCTCTGTTCCTTTTTAATGTCTGTCTGTCTGTCTGCGTCTATTCTAACCTAACCTAACCTAACCTAACCTAACCTAACCTAACCTAAACTAATCTAATCTAACCTAACCTAACCTAACCTAACCTAACCTAACCTAATCTAACCCCAGCAACGAACAAAATCATAGACGATAAATTATTTTAAAGTCACATAATAAAAAAAAAATTAAAAAAAGTTTAGTTTTAAAAGTAATAATTTTTTGGGTCATAATTCAGGTTAAACAGGCGGTAACGACCAGCCATTCATCCTTCCCTAATGCCTTACGTTTAACTAATGGCTGGTTCTAACTAGTAGTTGGCTCGTTAAGCTGCTAATTCACTAGTTTTCCTCACCCTACACGGCAAATGAGGGTATTGTAATCGTTTCTTATGGATGTGTGATGGGGAGTAGGGGGGAGGGGGGGTGGGAGGGGAGGGGTGGAGGGGAGGGGGTGGAGGGGAGGGGGGGTGAGGGAGGGGAGGGGGAGGGGGGGTGGAGGGAGGGGGAGGGGGAGGGGGGAAGGGGGCAGGGGAGGGGAGGGGTGAGGGGAGGGGAGGGGAGGGGGAGGAGGAAGGGGGGTGAGGTTGTTGGTCTGGTGAAGGTGTGTGTGTGTGTGTTTTGAAAGGCTGTTTGAGTATGTGTGTGTGTGTTTTCCATGTGTAAATGTTGTTAGGTTAGGTTAGGTTAGGTTAGGGTGTGTGTTTCTGCACTTAATTTGTATGACCATTGACCATACATGTAAGAGTTATATGTATATTAACTAAAGCAAAAAATACCCCACAACACACACCAACACACCCACACACACCCACACACACACACACACACACACCCACAACACACACCAACACACCCACACACACACACACACACCCACACACACACACACACACACACACACACACCTACATCCCACACTCCTCCCACCTACACATTAAATTAACACCTCAACACCCTCACATCCCCACATCACACCCTCTCCCCCACACCCCCTCCCACACCTCCCACACACCTCCTACACCCCGCAGAGAGGAAACATATCAAGATACACCTAAAATGAGAAACTTGCCAAACAATTTTTTAATATCAGTCTCATTCACAAGAATCAGCCCGACAGGACGTAATTCTGTCGGGCTCAGAAATTACTCCTCTTATGAGTTTTGAAGTTATGAGTTGTGAGTCCACCTGTTGTGTGTGTGTGTGTGTGTGTGTGTGTGTGTGTGTGTGTGTCCCTTCTCGTATCCTCCTCCTCTCCTCCCACCTCCAAACCAGCCTCCTCCTTCCCCTCCAACTGGGCCAACCTCCTCCTCCTCCTCCTCCTCCTCCTCCTCCTCTTCCTCCTCCCCCAGGAATAAATTATACACATCAAAACATCGATAAGAGAAGATTTATTCCTCCTCCCTTAAAAAAAATCGCCAAATAGGATTTATTCCAGAGCGTTGGAAGTAATTTACAAAGAGGATGAATTAAATGGAGAAAAAAAAATTCACACACATACGAAAACAACAAAAACACGATTAAATAACTAAATTAAACACAGGATTTCCAAACACAAAGAAGTATTTTATTATGTTTTTTTACGTTACATAAGATGACGTAGGGGGAAAAAGCATAAGAATTAGTAGTTATAATCATATACATATATACATTACACATGAATGCACATACAAACATACATGCACACACACATAAATACACATACACGTACGTACACACACACACACACACACAGGATTTAATACACACAAAAATAAAAGACAAATTTAATACACCAAAAATAAAAGACAAATGAAATAAAAAAACAAAAAACACTCGCAATACAGACTGAAATACTCGAGGGAAATGTAGAACTTGAAGGCCTTAACAAAACAAGAAACACACACACACACACACACACACACACACACACACACACACACACACACACACACACACACACACACACACGACGAAAAAAAACACAACCACACAAGGAGAGAAGAAGAAGGAAGAGAAAATAACAGTCGGGATAAAACTCGGGGCCAGAAAATAAAACACGGTCACATGGGTCGGTGAGGCGGGCTACGACGGTCAAATAAACGCCGGATGAGGACCGTCACTCCGGCACTCCCTGGCACTCCCTGGCACTTCCCTTTTGACACTCCCTGATCCTCTTCCTCCACCACATCACCACCCATGACACTCCACCAAAACCACTGTGTCAGGATCAAGCTGTTTTGGATCCTCTCTCGATCAACATGATAGAGTTGATGCCGTAGCTAAACTCGCGTCTACCAATGACACTGTTGATTACAATTTAAGTCTACCAAACAGAGCCTTAAAAACTGTAATCAGTAAATAATGTTGATTTGACGCAAGCAGACAAGTGTAAACAGGCACTAGTCAATCTATTGTTTGCCATGATGAGATGTATCAAGTGAAACATGTATATGGAGCAAGTAACAAGATCACTAGATTACAAGATGTTGTAACCGCTAGATTAAGGTTAGGATATAAGTACCTCTGGCAGTATGTCCCTCAGGTAGATGTGAACAAACTAAATGTAAAGTATGCGGCCAGACATATGGCCACACACTCTAACACTGTGGCCAGACATATGGCCACACACCCCAACACTACGTCCTCGACTGTGTGAAGATAGAACCTTTCAGGGACAGGTCCAAGCACACTGTGTGTGAAATGGCACAGCAGTTTATCTCTGATGGCAAGATAGCTGATAAACGAAAGCTATATCCACATTTCCCAATAATAATTAAGTCAATTTCTATGTAGCGACCTAAACAATGTACTGGAAATACCCTGTAGCCCTCAACGCCACAATAACCTCGCCACTGGGGTCTGATAAACACCCTAGTGACCTCTGCTATCCTATTTGAACTACCACTGACAGGATGACTATGGAGTGCACAACAAACTAGCAAAATTCGGTTTCCTCCCCACACCACCACCTGTGACCCCCTCTATGACCCTCTTGACCCAATCTGCGACCCTTGTGACCTCAGAACCATACCTGTAGTAGACTTGTTCACCGTGATGTGTTGCCCGTCCTCTCTCTTCCAGGTCACTGTGGGTTTGGGTGACCCTCTGGCACGACATCGCAGCTTGATGTCGTTCCCCTCCTGGGCTATGACGTCACCAGAACTCTCTTGGTCAACGATGTCCGGCGGCACTAACGGGTAGGGAAGAGGTCAAAGGTCAATAGAGATGGAGGTAGGTTATCATATCATCTATCTATCTATCTTCTACCAATACCACATCATCATACCCACCCTCACACAAACACCCTCACACCAACACTCACCAACACTCACCAACACCCTCTCACCAACACCCTCACACCAACACCCCTCTCACCAATACTCACCAACACTCACCAACACTCACCACACACCCTCACACCAACACTCACCAACACCAACACCCTCACACCAACACCCTCACACCAACACTCACCAACACCCTCTCACCAACACTCACCAACAACAGTAAGGTAGCCAGCAATCGTCATGGCAGCAGCGGTGTTAATTTGACACATATACTTCCCAGTGTCCGTCTCTCTCACATCCTTTATATGGAGGTAAAAGGTCTTCTGGTGTTTGTCGCGGCTGACGGTGATTCTCTCGTTCCGGGTGATGACGTGGGTGGTACAGTCAGGATAGTGGAGTTCTCATAATGTATCCATGCTACAGGGGACAATCAGGTGAGTATAGTGATGATAATTATGATGTTAATAGATAATAATAGATAATAATAATAATAATATGTCGTTATTTAGTTATTCTTCGTTTTTGGGTTGGGTTGTTGCTGGGTTGGACAAGGTTGGGTTGGGTTGAAGCAGGTTGGAGTATTATTTGTTGGTTGGGCTGGTTGGGTTAGGTTGGGTTGGTTGGTTGTTGGCATTGGCTTGGCTTGGGCTGGGTTGGCTGGGTTGGGTTGGCTTGGTTGGCTTGGGTTGGGCTTGGGTTTCACCATCAAACACCTCCAGATGAATTAGGACAATGATACACCTCACTGTACAACACTTTAAAGAACTTACCTCACCTCCTACACCACCTCCAGCACCCCCCTCCAGCACCTCCCACCTCCACCACCTCCACCTCTCCCCTCCTCCCCCTCCCAGCACCCCCTCCCTCTCCACACCTCCACCCTCTCCCTCCAGCACCCCTCCTCCACCTCCACCACCTCCACCTCCTTCCTCCAGCACCTCCTCCCCAGCACCTCCTCCTCCACCACCTCCACCCTCCCCCTCCAGCACCCCTCTCCCCTCCCTCCAGCACCTCCTCCTCCAGCACCTCCTCCAGCACCTCCTCCTCCAGCACCTCCCTACTCCAGCACCTCCATCCCTCCAGCACCTCCACCTCCAGCACCTCTCCTCCAGCACCTCCCTACTCCAGCACCTCCTCCTCCAGCACCTCACCCCCCTCCTCCAGCACCCTCCCCACCACCTCCACCTCCCCTCCCTCCAGCACCCCCTCCTCCACCACCTCCACCTCTCCCTCCAGCACCTCTTCCACCACCTCCACCTCTTCCTCCACCACCCCTCTTCTCCTCCCAGCACCTCCTCCCCAGCACCCCCCTCCTCCAGCACCTCCTCCTCCAGCACCTCCTACTCCAGCACCTCCTACTCCAGCACCTCCTCCTCCACCTCCTCCTCCACACGTCTACAGGGAGGGTCACCGTGCCTCGTTTACGGGTTTAATGGTTCACAAGGTGCTATAACTACCTCCCAGCTGCTTGTAACTGAGTATAACTGCAGCTGTAACGTCCTAAACTTTCAACAACTCAAATCCCTTAGTTGCCTTAGTGCATCCAAACCTTTATGTGGTATAATGTGGATATTTTTCAATGTTAGTGGATTGTGGAACGAGGCTGGCCGTCCCAAGGACCACCAAGGCGTGAATTTGTTTAAGGTGTAAAAGCCGTCGCCAACACAACAACCACACCCTGAGTTAACGAATTGCATGACCCAGTGTCAAGGAATAGTCCGAGAAGACCGGACAACTCGCTAACTGCACTGGCTAACCATTACCCCGGAACAGGTACCCAATTACTGCTGGGTAGACAGAGGCAAATGATGTAAAGAAACTTGCCCATAGTTTCACCCTGCCCGGGTCTACTCCCTCACTCCTTCACTCTCTCTCCCTCACTCCTCTCCTTCACTCTTTTCCTTTATTCCTCTCCCTCACTCCTCTCGTTCAATCTCTCCCTCACTCCTCTCCTTCACTCTTTTTCTTTATTCCTCTCCCTCACTCCTCTCGTTCAATCTCTCCCTCACTCCTCTCCTTCACTCTTTTCCTTTATTCCTCTCCCTCACTCCTCTCGTTCAATCTCTCCCTCCTCCTCTCCTTCACTCTTTTCCTTTATTCCTCTCCCCCTCCTCTCGTTCAATCTCTCCCTCACTCCTCTCCTTCACTCTTTTCCTTTATTCCTCTCCCTCACTCCTCTCGTTCAATCTCTCCCTCGCTCCTCTCCTTCACTATTTTCCTTTATTCCTCTCCCTCACTCCTCTCGTTCAATCTCTCCCTCGCTCCTCTCCTTCACTATTTTCCTTTATTCCTCTCCCTCACTCCTCTCGTTCAATCTCTCCCTCACTCCTCTCCTTCACTCTTTTCCTTTATTCCTCCCCCTCACTCCTCTCGTTCAATCTCTCCCTCGCTTCTCTCCATCACTTTCCTTAACCCCATCTCTTCACTCTCTATGCATGTTCTTGTTCTTTTTTGCTTGTTCTTCTTGATTTTGTTGTGTTTTTTGGTGTTGTTGTTCTGCTTCTTCTTCTTTTTCTTTTAATTACCATCATTACAATTATTTTCAATATCATTACAACTCCTATTATCATTATTATAAATATTTTCATTATTATTTCTCTATAATATCTAATACGATTTATACGTCCTTCTATTGTATCAAAATAATTACTAAATATTTATAAAAAAAAAACATTAGTAGCTTAAGTCAAGTAAATTCACGTAATATCATAAACACACAAATTTATATCTATAAACAAAAATTATATAAACTGAAAACTGACATAGAATAAATATGTTTACACTATAGGTCATAATAGTGCTAAACAACTAGGTAGGAGGTGAGGTAGAGATGGTTGAAACTTACCTTATGTGAGCCTAAGTTGTCAACCCTGCAGGAGAAGCGAACGTTCCTGCCCTCTGAGACCGTCTGGTTCTGGATGTCGGCAAGAAAGACTGGCTCTCTTGTCATGACCCCTGGAGAGAGAGAGAGACGGATATATTATGATAGTTAGATACGTAAAACACACACACACACACACAGTAACCCTCCTACCTACCCGTCCAATAAAATAACCCACCTAGTCTAACACCCCCCTAACCCACCTACCCACCCAGCACGGCAACCCACCCCTCATCTTCACATGTGTAAATTTCCTGTTTTCTTTTACACTCGGCTGTAAATCTGAGGCTGCTTGCTGACGGCTCGTTGTAAATCGTACTAAGTGTGTCGTTAAGCGGTTGGCAGCGAACACACGGCAGCCAACAGTCACAAATTGCGTCTTAAGTCGTAGCGCATTACCACCCCTTTCCTTAACTGGTTAAAACTCCCAGCCTAGGAAATGGGTGGTGATGGGTGGTGGTGATGGATGGTGATGGGTGTTGATGGTTATGTGTGGTGGTGAATTGATGGATGGGTGGTGATGGGTGGTGGTGATGGATGGTGATGGATGGTGGTGATGGGTGGTGGTGATGGGTGGTGGTGTTAGGATGGCGAAGGTGTGGTGAGTGTGTGGCGAGCGGATGATGCCAGCTGGGGAGATTATTGGTGTACATAACAGCAAGCACACTGGAAGGGGTGGTGGGAGGTAATGCTTGCGGTCACTATAAGACACTGCCGCTATATGAATGCTTGCGGTCACTGTGCCAGAGGTTTTATGACAGTGCTTGCTTTCATTATATTAGACATAACATTGCGTTCACTAGAAAACAAAAGATTGCTTGCGTTCACCACAAAAAAAACAGCTTGCGTTCACCACATAAGACTGGTTGCATGCACTACAACAGACAAAAGATTACTTGTGTTCACTATAAATTAATTGCGTTCATTACAGCAGGAAGGTTCAAGCACTACTGAAAGGCTTAAGTCCTTAATAAGCATCGTCTATTACATTTACTACGTTGTGTCCTCAATGAACAATGTCCACAGTAGCCAACGAGAGCAGATGTGTCCACAATAAGCGATATCCATAGGCCTCAGAGAACATGTCAGAGTTGTGCCCTCGCCAAACTCGAGCCTAACAAAGACACCGTTGAATACAATTTGGGTCTGTCAAAAAGAACCCTTAAAACTGTAATTAGGAAGGAACTTATTGATGAATTTGACGCAAGCAGACAAGGGCAAACAGGAAATAGTCAATCCATTGTTTACCATGATGAGATGTATCAAGTGAAACATGTATATGGAACAAGTAACAAGATCACTAGATTACAAAATGTTGTAACCGCTAGACTAATGTTGGGATATCAGTACCTTTGGCAGTATATTCCTCAAGCAGATGTGAACAAAACTAAAAGTAAAGTGTGTGGCCAGACATATGGTCACACACTCCAACACTGTGGCCACACTCTCCAACGCTACGTCCTTGACTGTGTGAAGATAGAATCTTTTAGGGACAGGTCCAAGCACACTGTGTGTGAAATGGAACAGCACTTTATCTCTGATGACAAGATAGCCGACACATTGAGACAGTATCCACTTTTTTGCACATAATAGCTTAGTCAATTCCTATAGAACCAAACACACAATGTGCTTGAATACTTCTCACGCAAATGTGAATAACAAAGTGTGCGGCCAGACATACTGCCTCACACTCCTGCGGCCAGACATACTGCCTCACACTCCTGCGGCCAGACATACTGCCTCACACTCCTGCGGCCAGACATACTGCCTCACAGACATACTGCTGCGGCCAGACATACTGCCTCACACTCCTGCGGCCAGACATACTGCCTCACACTCCTGCGGCCAGACATACTGCCTCACACTCCTGCGGCCAGACATACTGCCTCACACTCCTGCGGCCAGACATACTGCCTCACACTCCTGCGGCCAGACATACTGCCTCACACTCCTGCGGCCAGACATACTGCCTCACACTCAGGCAGTTGTTAATGCGTCATCATCTGTGTACAGAACTAAACAAACAATGTTTATTAAATATTCTACAACATTCAATACCATAATATCCTGACCACTGGGGACTGCTATACACACCCCTTGTGACCTCTACTCTGTAATCCTTTTGAGCTACCGCTCACAGGATGAGTATGGGGTGCACAATAAACTAGTCCGCAATAACTAGATATCTTATGAACAAATGTCCTTTATGCCTTAAATTTGCTCATGTCCTAAAATACAGTGTCCACAACAAGAGAGTTTGTGTCCAACTATAAAATGTCCGTAGTTAGGACGGTGTTCTTTAAAAGCTCTTCTGTCCCGTATAAATGGTGTGCTAAATAAACTCCCGCCCCGTATATCACGTGTAAGAGTGATGATGTCCCAATTAAGACGCTGATACAATAAGCACAGTGCCTTTTAAGAGTACACGTGTCCCGTATAAGCAATGACCACTATGATGGTGCCAATAACATGGTAAAGAGTGAGGCTGAGGGGGAGGGGGTAGGAAGAGGAGAGGGAGAAAGGGGGGAGGGAAGAGGAGGGGAAAGGAGAGGGAGAGGAAGAAGAGTGAGGGGAAAAGAAGAGGAGAGAAAGAAGGCGAAAAGAAGAAAGGGGGAAGAGGAGGGAGTGGTAGGAGGGAAGAGGAGGGGAGTGGAAGGAGGGAGGGCCATTTGCACTTTCAATGGAACAATTTTAATGAAATCTTGAGATAAATTGAATCTCATTAATCTTAACGTTGAAAGAAAAAATAGCGAATATTCGAGATGTAGTGGTGTGGTGGTGGTGGTGGTGGTGGTGGTGTGGTAGTGGTGGTGGTGGTGGCAGTAGTGGTGGTGGTGGTGGTGGTGGTGGTGGTGGTGGTGTGGTGGTGTGGTGTGGTGGTGGTGGTGGTGGTGGTGAGGGTGGTGGTGGTAGTGGTGTGAGGTGGTGAGTGGTGGTGGTAGTGGTAGTGGTGGTAGTAGTGTGGTGGTAGTGGTGGTGAGTGGTAGTGGTGGTATTAGTGGTGGTGGTGGTGGTGGTGGTGGTGTGGTGGTGGTGGTGGTGGTGTGGTGGTAGTGATGGTGGTGGTGGTGGATAGTTGTGATGGTGATAGAAGAGTGCTTATGATATACCTAGTAGTAGTAGTAGTAGTAGTAGTAGTAATAGTTAGAACGATGCCACTATTGCTTTAACTACTATTACTACTACTATTCTAGCCCTCGTAATAGCTGTAACCACCATCACAACAACCCAATCAACCAACTACCACAATTAACCACCATTCCTCTTATTAACATCCATTCAAGAGATATAGTTCACTTAACCCCATCCCTCCCACGCCCTCTCTCGTCACACACACACACACACACACACACACATTGTTAAGGGTGAATACTCCCCTTGGCTTAGTAACGCCAAGACCTCCAACTAACGAAGAGGCAGGGGAGCAATTGTAAAACCAGTGTGTGTGTGTGTGTGTGTGTGTGTGTGTGTGTGTGTGTGTGTGTGTGTGTGTGTGTCCTTCCTGTATACACGCATATTCTATCACCCCTTCTATCTTCCCGTTATTTACTCCTTGTTACTGCTTCCCGTGTTATTGTTCTCTCTCTCTCTCTCTCTCTCTCTGTTCTGGGAAGTAGAGAGGAGGGTGTGTGTGTGTGTGTGTGTATAGATGCATGTATAGATGGATGTATAGAATTATGTATAGACACACACCTACGCATCATAAACCAAGTGAAAAATAACAACAGATTTATATTAGGGAAAATCGGGTTGGCAGGACAGATTAGGAAGTTTTAATGAGTGTTCTTACTTTAGTACTCAACCTGATTACGGAGCTCCTGAGTACTAGAGAGAGAGAGAGAGAGAGAGAGAGAGAGAGAGAGAGAGAGAGAGAGTATCTGAAGATATATCCCAGGTGTGTTGTGGACATGTTATATATCCCAGGTGTGTTGTGGACATGTCAATTATTAAAGTAATTAAGTAAAAAATTTCTATACTAATTATTCACATTATCTTTTTTACACTTGTTTATTTTTCATTATTAATTTATTTTATTATTGTACGATTTTTATCTAATCATAATCAATCCTTGGACGCATGGATACTTGGACGCATGGATCCTTAGACGCATGGATACTTGGAGGCATGGATACTTGGACGCATGGATACTTGGACGCATGGATACTTGGACGCATGGATACTTGGACGCATGGATACTTGGACGCATGGATCCTTGGACGCATGGATCCTTGGACGCATGGATCCTTGGACGCATGGATCTTCAACCACACGAATCCACACACATACAGACCAACAAACGCACGGAAAACAAAAGACAAATTGTTCTTTATTCTTAGAGTGAGGAAACATGAGGTTAGGTTAGGTTAGGTTAGGTTAGGTTAGGTTAGGTTAGGTTAGGTTAGAGTGAGGGATAAGATAGGATGATCTCTTAAAGTAGTGAAGATGGGGAACCAGCTGACTCGAGTGATGTAAGAGGAGATAACTAATTTAGGATATTTGAGATTAATGATTCAGGTCCTTAGATAAAAACACCAAGAAGGAGAGAGAGAGAGTCCATCTGGAGCGTTCTTAAAGACCTACATATTATAGAGAAAAAAAACTCCCATATATTCTTTATAAATATCCGCTCAAGCAACGGGGTATTCCTCCTGTCCCTCCTCACTCCCTCCCTCTCTCTCCCTCTCACTCTCTCTCTCATTGTTCCCCTCCCTCTCTCACCCTCCTCTCTCCCCTCTCTTTCTCTCTCTCTTTCTCTCTCTTAGTCTCTTCCTCTTCTTCCCCTTTTCACTCCATCTTCCCCCTTTACCATTTCTCCTTCTCTCCCCTATCCTTCTTTTCTCTCTTTCTCTTCTCCCTCTGTTTATTATCCCCTCTTCTTCCCACTCCACCTCTCCCTTCCTCCCCTCCCCCGTCAGTTTCTACGAGGTTAATACAGGGTGTTTAATTCTCACTACTCTCCCCTCCCCTTCTCTTCTCCCCTCCTTCTCTCCTTCCCTCTCCTCCCCTCCTCTACCCTCCCCTTCTCTTCTCCCCTCCTTCTCTCCTTCCCTCTCCTCCCCTCCCTCACCC